AACGAACCTATGCACATTGAATTAATGGCAAACAAACAAAATTTGCTGCATTTTAAACATGCTCAATACAAAAAAGCAAAAACTATTTACAACTCAAATTCACTATGCATAGCATTATCCTTGTTGCCAAGATCATTAAAAGGATCATCAGCTTTCTTTTTCCCATCATGAACATCATTTCATCATTTACGGTTTCAAACCTGTTTCTACTTGCTCACACCCTCTGTTTCATTTTACCTTTTATCTCATTATTTAAAATAGTCTATACAGTCTTTGACTAATATTTGTCTTTCTGCTTTTCAGCCTCTCTGGGCCTCCTGAGACATGGATCGGCCCAGGGCTCTGGGTGCCTTGGCAAACTCCATTCGCATGGGTTTGACAGGTGGCAGGTCCCTGGTGATCTGTTCCAATGGTCTCTTGTCTGGACAGGCTCCGTCGAGAACCCGGGCGGGAGGGAGATCTTCCAGGGTGTGTGGGGCTCCGTGGCCCAGGCGGACACCCAGCTCAGCAGCCTTGAAGATGGGCAGGGGCAGGGTGTTCCTGTAGGGTAAGAGCTGGTGCTCCCTTACACCTGTGTCCACAGTGCCCACTCTGACAACACCTGATGGGCAGGCCTGATTGAGAGGACGCGCCTGCCAATAACGGGACAGGGACTCCCGGTGAGAGTCGTCTGACATCAGCATCGATTGGCTGCACAGAGAAAAATGGAGAATTCTGAATGAAAGTTTTGACATTTGATTGTGTGTTTAAAATGATTTTATGCAAGCTGCACTGCAAAAACTCAATATTATTATAATAACAAATATTAACAATAATATTATTATTTGTTAAGCATTTTGTAAGTAAAAATATCTACAGATGATTAAAGCCAAATTAATTGAATTTCATAAGATATAAAGATATTAAGACATGTTTTATGAATACATTTCTTGATTTAAGTTGATTTATTTTCTTACTTCACTGGCAAAATGTTTTATTTGTTTGTTTTTTTTTTGGATAAATTTATAACAATATTTTCTGAATTTATGCTTTAAACAAGAAAAATATTTGCCAAATGTAATTCAAGATATGTCATCTGAAAACATATTGTTTTTTTGCAGTTTTGCTGCTCAGGTAAACCTGACTATAAAAATAAACAAAAAATTAATGATTTAAATCATAACTAAAGCTATTTGCAGATGCTGAATGCTTTAAAAGAGATCCTTGACATTCAATAAATTATAAATGAATGAATGAATAATTAAATAAATACCTAAATACATACATAAAAATCTAGCTTCCATCTAGCAGTATGTGATGTATGTGAATGTCTATGCACTCACCGATCCTCAGGTCGTGTCTTCATATTGATGCTGCGCCAGTTAGCGGTATAACTCTCTTTCTTAGTTGGATTTTCCTCCTTCACACTGCAGCTGAGCTCGGCTCCAACCACACATCCTCCTTTCTTCTCCAGGACTGTGCACATCTGCATCTTTAACTTCCGTTTGTGAGCGGCTTAAAAACTTAAATGACAGTCAATGATCTTACTAAGATCCTTTGGTCAATACTGTTTTGAAGATTTGTAGTTTTCTTTTTTTCCTCTTTTCTGTTCCTGGTTGAGTTTGAGGGAGGACTCGTCTGTCTGTCTGTCTCTTGCTCTGTCTGGATGTCTGTCTGCCAGAGTGTGTGTCAGACTTTTATACAGCTCTGCTGCTATTTCTGTCTGATGGAATCACTCCGTACTTTGTCTACAATGACACTTGACACTCACACACCCACATATCAAAACATTCACACACACACACACACACACACACACTTGTAGCACAGCACGGGGACGTGTATATAAGACACAAGAAATCCCCAGCAACTAACTATCTATCTATCTATTAACTTGTAAGCTCTATAATAAGATCTGTCTTAAAATCTTTCCTTTCTAGTTATTATCTAAATGAATTCTGTCGCTGAAGCTCAAATGCTTGATCACATTGTATCATCATGACATTTATTCCTCTATGGGCCTATTAACAGACATCAAAAGTCTTTCAATGGAAACTAAACAGTGTTCAGATCTGGAACCAGACAAGAGATTATAAACATGTGGCAGCAACTGTTCTGTACTGGTAATCTTCTTTTATACACATAATCTCTTTAAAAAACATTGTTTAAATGAATTATTACATAAAAAAAAGACTACTACGCTGCCTTTTTATATTTGTTTATTTATTGCTGGAAATTAAACGTATGTAGTTGGAAAGTTGCAGAAAACTAACACTGGTCACTCAACTTAAAATATGAAGTAACAATAAGTAACTTCTTTTTTTTTTCCTGAAACAACCATTATAAAATATAGTTAATATGGAAAAGCATGGTCATATCATAGCATGTGGTCAGTGACAAACCAAGTGAGCGCTGGTGCTGTATTCACTCATCAGTTGAATATAGTGCTGTGTGGACAGAGGTTATGGACAGTCATATTCTCATGTTACACATACATTCTGTCCCCCGTCTGTCACTGACTGCTCTCTCAGTGACGCACTGAGCGATTACAGGAACTGATCTCACTCTTGTGCCATCCCTCTCCTGCAAAGTGGCCACTCAGCACACTATAGTATGAAAATCTAGCGTCATGTAGTTACACAAGCATGAGAACCAGGAAATGTCACATCACTCCAGTAATGAAGCTGCTCCTGTAGATTATGACATGCACACAAAATTTGTTTCCTTCCATGCATATTCATACAGTAGCCACACAATGTATTTGGATGCTTAAGCAAGACTTAAATATAAATAAATGTCATTGCATTACATTAGAAATGATCTAAGTTACATTTATTTTAAAACACAGTGCTTTTTAAGCATGGTTCAAGAAAACAATTAGAATTTTTATAAGGTAGTATACAGTAGTACACAATTGGACATTTTTACAAGGTAGTATACAGTGTCACTGAAAAGTAGTGCAAATACTTTTCAGGGACACAGCATACTACCCTATAAAAATGTTCACAGGATTTATGTTTATTATTCTATTTTTTTTCTCTAAACATCCTAAAAGCATATCGTTTGTATATTAATAAATATTTTTTTTATAATAATATACAATTAATAGACAAATATAGGCCTATATTATTATTATTTATTATTTTTTACAATCAAGAAACAAGAATAGGCAACTATGTCCATCAGTCAATTTCTTTTATTGTCAGCTATATCAGACATCTTACCAGACAAGCAACATTCAAGACAGGACAAAATACAATGAGCCATTTTAACCTAGTGATTCAGTTAATGGACAGTTGCCACATCAAAGAAATTTACAATATTTTGTATCCCAGCTCCATAACTGCACATGCACATTATAGAAGAACACATCTGATACATCACCTATATAATATGTTGATTGTATTGTAGCTTTCCTTTTTTAGGAGTTTCAACAAGAAATAAAATAAGCGAAAACAAGGTTCCCGATTCAGAAAACAATGTCACTTCCTAAACAGAGAAAGGATGAATGTTATTCTACAACACCTTTAAATGCAAAATTCACAATTAATATGATTATTTTTGTCAGTAATTTTGGTAATAAATTTATAAAGATATTTTGTGTACTTGATTTTATTACTTCTTTGTCATTAAATAAAAAATATGCTGGTTTTATATATTCAGGTAGAAAATTATGAATTTTTTTTTCATAATTTAAAATTAAATTAAAATATAATGCACAATGCTGCTCTAGAGCAAGATTTATTACAGTAACTATGATCAAAAATAATTTGAAATGATAAAAAAAAGATTGCCAGAGATTCTTTGTCATTAAATAAAAATATGCTGGTTTTATATATTCAGGTAGAAAATTATGAATTTTTTTTCATAATTTAAAATTAAATTAAAATATAATGCACAATGCTGCTCTAGAGCAAGATTTATTACAGTAACTATGATCAAAAAAAATTTGAAATGATAAAAAAAAGATTGCCAGAGAACAATACTAGGTGTGCTACAAAGGAACTCATTAGCATACATAATTATGAATAATATTTCCACAAGTGACAGACCATTATAATGTCATGACCATTTGCCTTGAAGATTTGGCAAATTAGCTTTGAAATGAAGTCTATTAGTCTGTTCTTCCTAGCATAATTGTGTGGTACTGGCTAGATTTGACTCGTAAGTCATTAGTACTAATTTGTCATATTTAGACAATGTGCTAATTTTAATGCTATGGGGCATTAATATATATTTTTGTTCACATTTTTAGTGAAGCATAAAGTATTAGTATGCAGCTGAGTTAGCCTGGCCATTTTCCCACTCAAAAAATGCTTTTCAAAGTCCTGTGAATTTTAATGTTGCACCACATTGTGTTTACAGTCGTGATTAAAAGACAATGTTCAGGTCATTATGTCTAGATCACTGTCATAAAAATGTAAACGTTTATCATGATGAAAATGACATACATAGTGGCCCTAATTCATATGTGGACTCTTAAGTCACACTTTAAAATGCATGAACTGACTCAGAGGTGATTTTAGCTTAAGTCATTTCTCCTCAGGTTCACACAGGTGTCCTAGTAGAGTAACTACAGGTGTTTGTCATTTAAAGGTGTGGTAACATCAAAGACGATAGAATACCCAAGACTTGTCACTCATATAGTTTTGAATGAAGAAAAATGCAATGCTCAATATAACCGCTCCATCGAAGGAAGCTCCGCCTTCTGTGTAAAAGAGCCAAGCGATAATCGGTAAAGTCATCTGTCATTGCAGCTGCCGTTAGAAGTTCCGGTTGCTATAGAAACAGTCAGCGTTCTGAGACCTGCGCTTAAGACTGGCTGGTCTAGCCTGAAAAATAAGCTTTTTTTTAAAAACACTATTTGAGCAAAAACAAAACAAAAACAACAACAACATTTAATAGACAGTTGTCAGATTTCATTGGTGATTTCAAACATGAAATCTAATCGTAAGCTTGGTGAACAGTTTTGGAGAACTTGATGTTTCCCCATTCAAAGAGATAGAAGTTCTACTTGCATGCAGAGGCGTTTCAAAGATGGCCGCCGAGTGAAATTACTTGTCTTAAAGGGACTTTGGTAATATTCACTGCTGTTCGGAGATTTTTCATGGGCTAAATTTAGTAATTTTAAAAGGAATCCGCGCGATCTGGAGATTCACGCGATAAATTTCCCCTGTAGATTTTGCAGCGGGTTCAAGTTTGTCACGCGAATTTGTCTGTTGACAACCAGAAAACTTACTGGTTTGAAAGTGGTTCCTGGGTGTGTGGGCTGTGCTTTTGCTGCACTATTGCCAACAGACCCCCCCCCCCAGTTTTAGAATGTATAAACTAACAAATTACTTTGTATGAAATGCTTTACTTGAAAAGTGTGCTTGTGATGTCTTTCTTTAAAATAAATGACTTTGGTTTGGTATTTTGTACAATGTCAGACACATATGCTCAGGGCTCTCAAGTTTTATCAAAAGATTGGAGTAAGATTACATCTGTTAGGAGAGGAGCCACTCAAATGTTTGCAGAAGCAGCCCCTCGGTCCCACCCAATTCTCTCCTAGTTTTTGCTAGTAGTTCAATTTTACCTATTGTTTTTAATTGACCAGAACAAATAGAAATTATAACAATTGGTAAATCTGATAAAAGACAGACAAATTCATCCAAATAAAATAAATTGTTTTATATATTTCAAAAATACAAATGTATCAAAAATATAAAGAAATTTGGCTCCAAACAATCCAACTGAACAGCAGTGGTCAATGTACATACTGTATACATACAGTAGGATTGCAGAACTTGTCCTGAGCATGTATGTCAAGCTGTGTGTGTGTGCGTGTGTGTGTGTGAGAGAGAGAGTACATATTTCAGCTTAAGAATAGTGTTTTGTGTTGTGTTTATTGCACATTTTGATGCCTTGATGACAGGGGTAGGGGCAAGGGTCAAGGCCAGCCATTTTCACCTTCATGATGGATGATAGCGTCCTGTCCAGAGCCAAACTGCTACTAGTTTTAGTTTTGTTCAAACCCATCATGGAGAACACACTCTCTGCATATGCATTTGAGTGGGGAAGCCATAGTGCTTTAAGTGGGAGCCCCCTACCCGTCATCAAGGCATTAAAATATGCAACAAACACGCGCACACACACACACCACAGTTTGACATATGCTCAGGACAAGTTCCGCAATCCTACTGTATGTGTACAGTATGTACATTGAGCACTGCAGTTCAGTTGGCTCGTTTGAGGCCAATATTCTTTTTATTTTTGATACATTTTTATTTTTGAAATATATAAAACAATTTATTTTATTTGGATGAATTTGACTGTCTTTTATCAGATTTACCAATTATCTTTGATCACAGGCAAGTGATTTCGTCCAGGAATTGTAAAATCGAAATGCTAAAAAAAAAATAAAAAAACCGAGGGGCTACCTATAGCATTCACTGGATCTTGACCTTACAACTTACACTCAGAGTGTGTGCGCATCCATGTTGCCTAGTAACGAACGTGCTTGCAGCAGGATCATGTAATTTAGGCGGAAACAACAAAATACTAATTTCTGATTGGCTGGTAGGTGTCATTTAACTCTGTGTAACTCGAGACTGCCACAAACTTTCATTGTCAATTAATTGTATATAGCTGGACATGTTATCCCTTACTTCTTACAGCATGAGAAATACAAGGTGTGGTGTGTGAACTGGTTGAAATGAGTGTCTCACAGTGAATGCGTGAGGCTTGAGAGCCCTGTATACTATTTAAGCTTTGATTAAGTGTCCAAATACTGTTTGGGGCCACTGTATATATGGAATGTTGCCTTTCTATAAAGAAACAGACCTTAAACCTTAAATATCTTATTCATAGCTGCACGTAATCATAGCTGCACAAAAACAAACAAACAAACAAAAAACACCAACAACAACAAAATTCACTTTAAGTATTTTCAATATTTTTTCATTCTCTGTATTACCATTCAGTTTCTCTCTTGGTACGTTCTATGACAACAATGCAGAGACTGATTTAATCCCAGACCTGATATTGTTAAAAATTATCTTTTAAGATCCTTGGACATTGACAAAATGGCAGCAGAGAGCTATCAATGCAGTATCTGTTCTACACTGTAATCTGTTAAACTTTCTAGAGATCTTGTGCCACAGTCTCTGCAAAATATCATATTTTATTATAGACTTAATGAAACGCTCATTATTCATGTATCGTCAACAAAAGTTAAATCAACAAGGGGTTCTTATAGCACCAAACAAACCCCTGAATTCCTGTCAGCCTGCTTTGATCCCCATATTTTACCCAAGTGCCCAAAATAAGTTCCTGTTTGTCCTTTTCACCTCAATTTTTTTGTTTTCCCCATGTAACCCAGTCAGCCTAGCTGGTTAAGACTGTTGTGTACATCCTTATACTTGACCTTAGTAGTCTTGGTTCTGGTATCCACCAGAGCCGTCATAATTAGCCTCCATGTCAGCGTTGTATCCAGTGTACTCTGTGGCTGCAGCAGGCGCTCCTGCGGGATCTTGGCTGGGATCAGTATAGTCCTGAGAGAAGAGAGATGAACTTGCGCCTAACTTGTACCTCTGGAATGCGAAAAAAGCTTGACCAGCCTTTAGGAAAGTGAAGATGCCAGGAGGAGGTTTAGAGGGTGGGATCAGGGGGAATTGCAATCAATATTAAAGTATTATGGCAACAGGAGAGGAGGAAATTTCAGTTTTGATGGCGAATAGTGCATAAAATGGTATCAGTTAAGGAAATCAGGTAAGAATTAAATGAAAGGAGTTGACGAGAAAGACAGGACGGGACAGAGAGGGAGAAAAAAAAACAGAGAAAAGCATTAGTTTGATTAAGATAAAAGATTTAGATGGTTAGTCAGCTTTAAGCTTAACGGAGTCCTGAATACATTGTATTCAGTATTGTAGCTTTAACCTTTTAAACCAAACTATTTAAACAAAGACTTATAAACCTAAATCCAAAACAAAACATAAAACCAGAACTTGAGTCAAACTTAAGACAATTTAATCAAACAACATCTGCCAGTATACATTATAAGATCTATCACAGGATAAATATTCATTAAAAATGTTAAGCAACAAGAGCAGCTCAACTGTAAACAAATTGTTTAAAATAAGATCATGAAATGCCATGACAACAATAGAGGTGAATGAGCATGTAACGCAAGTCGGTCAATGTATCAGGCCACAAATCCTGTAGACAATCTTGAAGAATGTTACAAAACAATTCTGTAAAGAGCTCAGCTGAACGTTACATGTGCAACGGGTGCCCCCTAGTCAATTAAAACTGTAACTGCAATTTTAAAAACAATCATTTAGTCAGGAAAAGCATTGATATTCTGGCACACAAACTACTGTTCAAAAGTTTAGGGTTGGGAAGATTTGTTAATGTTTTTGAAGGAAGTCTCTTATGCTCGCCAAGGCTGCATTTATTTGATCAAAAATATAGTAAGACAGTAATATTGTAAAATATTATTACAATTTAAAATAACTGTTTTCTATCTTGTATATATTTAAAATGTAATCTATTCCTGTGATGCAAAGCTGGATTTTCAGCATCATTACTCCAGTCTTCAGCGTCACATGATCTTTTAGAAATCAGTCTAATATGCTCATTTGCTGCTCAATAAATATTTCTTATTATTATCTATATTGAAAACAGTTGTGCTGCTTAATATTTTTGTGAAAACTGTGATAGACTTTATTCAGCATTCATTGATGTACAGAAAGTTCAAATTGACAGCATTTATTTGTAATAGAAATATTTCCTAACATTATAAATGAATTCACTTCCATGTTTGGTTAATTCAATGCCTCCTTGCTGAAAAAAGTATTAATTTCTTTCAAAAAATCTTACTGAACCCAAATTTTTGAAAAGTAGTGTACCTTTAACCCCAATCTTTACTTGTATGATAAATGCTGGAATAAACTGAAAGGTGAAAATCAGATCCTCTTACTGTAGATCATGTTGTCATAATTTCATTATTCCAAGATATATGTAATATGTTATTTAAAACTCTTCCCAGTTTGCACAAGGAAGTTCGGGGCTTGATATGGCACTGTAATAAAAAAACATATATCACATCTTCATTAGTACCCATGTTTGTAAGATTTTTTTAAGGGGTGATTCTGTAGCTGATGTCTATGGCATAGTAAACAAATAAGTATGTGTGGGGTAAATGTTAGACAAATGGAGGTGGTGTATGAGGGGTGAACAGTTTGTCGTATTCCTCTTCAAAGGAGACTTTCTTTAGGCGCTCCAGGGCCAGCAGCGTAAGAACACCCTAAAGAAAAACAGATTGACCAGAGCCAACGATCAACAGAAAGAATGATTGGAAAAACAGTTCAACAACACTGGGTTAATCTCATCAATGCAGCTGGATGGTTTCTGAAAAAGAAGTGCTTTGAGGATTTAGAGGTTAGAAGGAAATCTGCAAACAGAGAAGCAAAGATTACTGGGCTAAATAAGTAAATTCTCCGGAAAAGAAGCTAGAGAGCAAAGTACAGAAAGAAGATTAGTGAATGAAGCCATGTGGATCAGATGCACAGGCCATGTAGAGTGGTTGATGTTCACAGGTCTATTATTGAGAAGAAAGCATGACATGCATGTAATCTTAATAAAATGTAATTATTAGATGAAAAACTTAAAATACTTAAATGAAGATTAGAAATATTACCTTGGCAACTAACTAAAACAAGTTTAAGTACTAAAAAAATGTTAGAAACTATAATTAAATAAACTCAAAATATAAAAAAGCTAATTTAAAATATTAATAAATTCTATTTAAGTAAATAAGTAATACAAATATCACTGGTTCATCACCAATTCAATCTGGTGTAATAAAAGGCCTTGGGAAGAGGAAGGGACCCAGCCATCATCTATATAATAAAATTACATTTCTGACCGAGAAGAAAATGTACTGTAGACATTGAATCTCGCAAATCAAATATGATTCAAATCAATCAGATTTTGTAGCAAACATTTACTTTGGATGAAAAATTACAGAAGAATTATATACAATTAAGTCAGTACAGACCCAAGTAAATATGGAGAAGAAGGCGAAGGTGATGGCCGCTCTGGCTGCGTCTCCACCCTGTTTGAGGGGGTTATCTTCTGGTTTAGCCACCTGCCACTGATTGGCCAGGAAGCAGAATCCCACAAACCACACGAAAGACCAGAAGGCTGGGAGCAAAATGGGAAAGGTGCAGAATTTCAGGTCAATAAAACAGCACAATAAATGCCTTTGAAAACAAATAAATCAAAAACAGAATGATAGCACAATCTAACAGTGCTCTGATTAAAACAGTCCATTTATATTTACAGGCATAGATTATTCAATTAAGCATAGCACTGTAGTAAGTCTAGCAGAAGTTACATTTTACCAACAGAGGGCAGTGTAGCTTAAAGTAATGCTGTGGTAGAGGAGTGCTTTTGAGTCAAGAAGACCTTAAAACCAATTGTATATGGGAAACATCACCTTCTTAGAGCCATATAAAATCATTCATAGGTGTTCAAATAAATAAGACATAGTGTGTGGTTTGTAGAAAGAGTGAGGCAGATTCAGCAGGAGGCTTGCAATAAATGTATCATCTTAGTGATATAAAATATTGATGTAATACCTGCATTCTATCAGCAGTTTACCTGAAATGCCAATATCAGCTAACACAGCCTTCTTGCGGTCTTTGATGCTGCTTATCTGAGGAAAGTAGACATCCAGTGCCATAAAAGCGACACAGCAGAGGAAGGCCACGGCTCCCATACCCACGGCATAATTACAGGCATTCTGGTTACGGTTAAAGATGCAATACTCCTCCACCTCGTCCGGACGGTTCACATAGCCCTCATTAGCAATGCATCCAAAGATCACAATGGAAAAGATCTGGGAAGGGGAATAAAAAGAAGAAGAACATGAAGGGAGAAGGTGAAATTAAAACATAAGAATTTGTCTAAAGGTGATATATGGACTTACCACACTTTTATTTATAACCATGGGTTATTTTGTTCATACTTTACCCTGAGTTAGTCATTAGTCTTAGGTAGTCAGGTTTTGGGATTTCTTACTGTACATGTGTTAACAATTATGCATTGACAAGACACTTTTATCCAAAGCGACTTGGAAATTATGAACATAAGCAATTAATCATAAGTCAAAAGTATCCATAGTACACAATACCAATTTTAAGTGAGCTAGATTAGTGCACAGGTTGGAGAAGAGGTGAAATGCAAGGTACCAGGTTAATACAAGTGCTTTTGAGGAAGAACTAATCACTGGATTTGCAAAAGGTTCAATTTAGCAACATCAAATCTTTGAAATACAGTGAGTGTTTTGTTTGCGACACTTAGAGGTAAGTAAACTAGATGTCTACAAACAGAACTTTATTTTTGCCTTGTTTTCTGAATTGTTATACTAAAAGAATCAGTAATTTAATAATAATTAAAAAAAAATTAAATAAAATAACTTCGGAGCAAAAAAAGTGTCTCCTTTGACACTGTTTACCTTTAGCATAGCAATGCCTGGATTTTGCCTATTGAAAATTTTCTGAACAACGGTATATATGACTGCATCATTAGTCCAGGGTTAAAAAGACACGTTAACCCAGAGTTAAGCATCATGCCAAAAGCCCTTTAAAGCCAATTAAAATTGATAAAATGTTATTAATGTCCACTGTAGTGCTGATTTCAGCATTCCTAGTAAACAAACAAGCATTTTCTGCCATCAAATTAAATTGTTTCTTTGCAGCCAAAATATTGTTTGAAGATGCATTCTATCATCACAGAAAGCATTGAGCATGTGCATGTCTGTTTTTAATCTCACTTTGTTGATTGTTGTTACTTGTTTTCTTACAGGGAAGCTAGGGTAGATTTGACACTTCCATAATAATAATAAGTGCCTTTTTGGATTTAGATGAGCCCATGTTCTCTTTTTGGCTCCAGAGGAATAGTCAATCTCAAGAGAATGGAGGCCATTTTTGGCAAAGGCTGGTGTTTTTTAACAGCTGGCTTGTGCATCTGTCAATATGTCTGAATGTGTGAGAATGAGAGAGAGACACTTCATTACTCCACTCATGCAACTAAGTTAAAATGTTCTTGGCTACAAGCAAAGTGTCCCATAGTTGTTCCCTAATTGCCAGCTACAATCCCATGATTTAATCCCGAGAAGCAGCTTTATATTAAAACTTCTGTTAAGGGGTTTGGCAACATCAAATCAAATAAACACTGAATCTCTAAGATACAGGTTCAGTAGCTCATTCAAACCTTTATCTTAATCCGATTAAGCACATATAAACAATATATCACCATGGCTGACTTATGGTTAATTTAAGGTATAATCAAGCCCTATAGTATAATATAATAATATAGGACTTTCAGCTCTGTTTATCTTATTTTAACATGTTTAAATCCATTCCATGGGATTTACCTCCAAAATCAGCACTTAACAGTGTTTCCTGCATTGCATTTTAGAAGTAAAATTCAGAAGAAAAAAAAAAGATTTGTGAATTGTGAATGTAGGTCTGTATTGACTCATGCAATAAAAAGACAACTTCAAAATAATGGCAAGAAATGTCTTTCTATGAGTTGTTTTTACTGGATGAATGCAAAAAGAACATCATGCAAATAATGGAGTCAGATTCACACACTAATGACACTACGAGTCTTTTTTTAGTTCATCAGAATCATAAATGACACCCAATGTAGTCCAATTCATGAACAGCTGACTGAACTGATTGAACCACTTCTTTTTATTGAATCAAAAATATATACGAGCAGTGTAGTCCGATTCACATATAAATGACTCTTATGAACCGCTTCTTTACAGTGAATTAAAAACATATACAGCATGACCAGTGTAGTCTGATTCATGAACAAATGACTCTTATGAGCCTGGTTCTTTTTTAGTGAATCAAAAACACAGCGTGGCCAATGTAGTCTGATTCACGAAAGAATGACAATTAATCAACATCTGACTTCAACATATATCATTTATCATTTCGTTTTCTTTTCCAGATTTTTGTTTTGCCCACCCAATCATCTAAGTGAACGTGAATAAGACTGTAAATGCAAACATGATTGTTAGGTTAGAAATGATAAAGCAGTATCATTGCTTACTAATTGTCCATATGACAATGTGTTGCTAAAGACATGTACGCAAGTTTTTTTGTAAAATTTCTCTCTCTCGAGTCTGTGAATTCAAGTGTATGGTCAAGTGTTTTGCCTGCCTTTAAATTAGCTGTCTGGATCACAAGGCCCCATGGCCAATGAGAGCATGAAAGCAAGCATTGTAACAGGCAGCACGAGGGATCTGGATCTTGTGATCATCAGGTGCAAGGCTTTACGTGCTCCCCGTTTCAACCACATAGGAGTGTTTTAGGCACATGTGTCTGTGAAACGAGCAACATGAATGTTTAACACTTTTTTTAACCGTGGAAATTTGTAAAACTAAAAAAAAAAAAAAAAACTGTAAAATGTTATTGGTAGAAAATGCACAAAACAGTTCCTTGTCCTAGTTGTTATCTTGTTTATATTGTGACAACCAGGTTTTCTAGTCTCTTTAAATTAAAGGTGCTGTATGTAAGTGTTTGACTCTACTAAAGCATAAAAATACCATAATATGTTTGCAGATATTTAAGAAACATGCTAAGTTAACATACTTGTTTATCTGAAAAACAATGCTACAGTCAGTTATTCTCCTTTGAAAATGTGCGTTCCGGGCCGCAATGTCGGTCTCTGTTTTGGTTTGTGAAACCCGCCCACTGTCAGTTTACCAAATTGTATTTCGCCCCCCCGGGTTGCCAGTTGGCGGGAAACACAGCATATTTAATTTCATTCATCGTGAGGTGCGCTCGTTCCTGTTGGTGTCGTCAATCTGGCAACCTGCGTGTGCGTCAAGTCTGAGGAGGAGGGGTCGGGTGAAAATGACCCTCTCCAATATTTTGAATTTAGACTGCAACACCTAGTTCAATCACTCGGTGCCAATCCTACATACAGCACATTTAAAGCATAAACTGACAAACCCATTCTTGCACATTTTCTATATTCAACATATATTCCATCATACACCATGCACATTTCTTCTCTTCATCTGCTAATTCTGTCCATTATTTTGTACAAGCCTTGTCATGTTGCACATTAATATTATAAAAATATTTTACTCTCCATTTTTGTATTCCATTATGTGATTTTTGTTTAATGCTGTAACGCCTCAATTTCCCACAGTGGCTTAATAAAGTGCTACCCTATCCTAAATATTACATAAAAGTCACATTTTGTAGAGTTTAGTACATCCCACAAGGTCAGTGTGTCATTTTCATGGCTTTCGTTCGTCTTCTCTGTAATTTATGGTCCTTCAAACATCCAGACATATCAGCTGGGGCTGGTTTGTGCTTGTACCATTTTTGAGCCAGCAACTATGGCTCACCCACCAATAAATCAATCAACACATTGAAAGGAAGAGAAATACAGTGCAATAGAGCTGTCCAGCTATTCAATAGGGCTCTTTACACAAAGCACAGTTGCAACTTGTGTAATGTTAGATAGAGGGCAGGACAATAATGACAGGTTAAAGTAAACCTACTATAAAGTAAAAATAATCTACAGCTCATCAGTGATGCTCTAACATCAATTTAAACAAGTTAGAAAAATGGGAATTCTGTTATGAACAAAACAATATTTTGAATGAATCATTTGATCCAGTTCAGAATGATTGCTCCAGTTCAGAATGATTCATTGATGAATTTGGGCTGATCCGATTCTTGACTGAATATAGACTTACATTTTTGTATGTTTCTTAGGCAAAAGCTTCAGATGGCCTCAATGGTCATATGGCCATTTTTGTGATTTTTTTATGGTGTATTTGATTCATTTTGCATCCATTTATTGTAATTGCATGAAAAAGAGCAACCATTATACTTCACTGATGGTCTAGATGGTGTAAGTTTTTGTTAAAAGGATGTCTTTTTGACCACTAAATGGACATAGTGCCCCTCGTCATTTTTCTCTCCTTTTCTCAGTCTGTTACATGCCTGCCGAGCTTTGCCTCTCTCTCTCCCCTCCCCCTCCAATCCTCGCTTTTAATCTCCCTGACCTTGTGTTCACTATGCGGGGAAAGAGAGATCACGAGAGAGGGAGAAAGACAGAGTCATAAGACTATAGATGAAGACCACCTATACATCTGAAGTGCTCCCCCACACAGCCAACCTGACCATTGCTTCACAGCATTCAGAAATCATGTGTCCATAACCGGAGAAACAAGATTAGGATATTCATAAAAATCAGTCATATGTAGAGCAATAGATCTGCTGTGCTATAAACGGGAAAATGTAATTAAACTGCACTGTAACTGTTCTGGTACATTGGTAAATAGCATACTTCATGTCAAAGATATTTTGACATGATAAAAACTACAAAAGCAAATATGCTAATATACATTCTCATATATATATATTCTGACATAATTGATTCCAGACTCAGTGATTCTCTATATTAACACTCTAAATGTTCACTTTAGCCTCCCTGTTGAGTGTTCATGTAATAAAATGTATATATTAAAAAAATGTCGGTAAACACTTTATATTTATATATATTTCTATGTATTATAATATTGGTGCATATGAATTAAAATTATTCATTTTTCCCCTTTAGAACGTTTATATTTATATCTATTTTACCTATTAGGCTTTTGAATCTAAAATAAGAGTGCAAGATAGCAAATGCTGATTAGATATGAGACACGATGCATGATTAAACACCGAAACATTGCCAGAATATCACAACGAGACAACGGAACATCCTGCCAGGAAATAGACGAATCACAAACTATAATAATATTGTTAAACGGATAAAGAGGCTCTGCAAACTTTAATTTTCCCTCTTGACATAATGATTGTGCAGGAAAAAATATGGAGAGAGATGGAGAGTATGTCACCCTGCAGCAGAATTCAGTGCCATTAGTCCCAGAACGGACTATATTTAAAGCATCACATGCACATTGCAAAGGACAGAACAGGCAGGGTTTTCACCATAATACATATTTAACAAAAAAAAAAAAAAAAAAAATGTAATTCCAAAAGACAAACTGGAAAATGATGTGGTACTGTAATTCTGTGTTTCACAGAAACAGACTGTAGTTAGATGCTGGATGAATACAGTGTGGCAGCTTGGGAAAATAAATGAATGAACTGCTGATTCTTGCCTAGAGGTTTTTTAACGCCCATGTTTTCAAACTCTATCTGTGAAATATGTGCAAGTGAGGGTTCCTGTGGGAAAGAGACTGCTTGCGTAAGTCAAAAATCCAAAAGATCATACATTTTAAAGCGAGACCCTGTTTACAAACAAGAAATGAGGAAAGACTGAGTCTGAATCAGACACTATATCCATCATGGTATCTACCAGAACTGAATCATGACTAAGGAGTTCATGTAACTCTCATGTTGCAGTTCATAGAAAGAGGAAAGAGAGATTGTCAAATGAAACAGGTTTAAATCCATAAATATTCTAGAGGCAATCCCATTAATGCCTTTTACTGTTTATCCATTTTCATTTTCCTCATAGTGAGCCTGTTAGTAACCAGCCTGAGGTCTCAGATAGTTGTCATGCCAACGCAGAAGCAGCACTCACTCAGCCAATCAGAGTATGAATCATTTGAATGATTCCACAAAGCAGACTGCACATATACACACACTAAACATGCAGGCAAATCAACAGTTGGTTGCCTCTTTAAGGTGAAAGGTGGCATTTCTGTATTGATTCACTTATCAATCACAATTCTTTCTTATGCTGATTCAAATCGATTCTCAAATTTCAAAAACAGATTTTCTAAATATTTTTGTTAATAACATGATTTTGTCGGAACAGAGAAGGTAGCAGTCAACTGCAAGAGCAGTGCAGCACCCTGACAGTTTATAGAGAACACACAGGGAAGGCTTGCAACGGGGGGAAGCGTTAAGAATGAAGCTTACCTGACAAAAAACAAGAATACATTTTTAATCAAATCTTCACCCCAAGAGTCGTTTTGAATCAAATCACAGGATTCCAAAAGATTCCCATTCGTACAATAACTGCATGCAGTTTTCCCGAACACTCTCTCTGTCCTCCATTGGATGGACAAACAGGAAATCCCGCCTCAAACTGGCTGAACTCAGAACACTCAAAAAACTAGAAAAATTAGACTAAAGTAACTCAGCTTCACTACTAACAACATCCATAGTCTACACTGATCAAAAATATATCCAATAGGTTTATCCAAAAGCCTAAACTTTCCCAATATATCCAATTCAATCCAATTGTTAATTTAAAGCTGATATAAAATAAAAAATATTGCATAAAAACCTAAACTTAAAAAAAAAATAATGAAAACAAGAAATGCTGCCTTGGCAATTAACTAAAAATATGCAAACTGAATGTTTAAGTAAAATAACTAATACTCAAATAAAGGACATAAAACGATTAAAACATGAATAAATATAAGATTTGAATGGGGCTCAGTGGGGCCTTTCTAAACCTCGTAGAGCATAGCCAGAGAATTGTTTTACGAACATTTCAATGTCTTTTAGCATTTTGATAATTTCTGTTGCTTATGAATGTAATTTTTATAAATTAGCAATGAGTCAGTGCTCAATTGATATTACAAGATCTTTATGTGTCGATTCTGACATGTAAATAATTTCAATTCTCGAATGATCACCTATTGCATAGTTGTGATTTAATCACTGATTCAGACACCTGCCCACCCTTCCCCCCACATCAGCCACCCTCTGCTAATCTCTCACCACCCCCTCACCATGTGTCTCTCCACAAAACCTTTTTATCAGCAAATAGTGCCTGCATGCTCATTCATGCAAGAGCCAAATGTTTAAACAAATCAGGAGCAACTTGACTGAATAAAGATTGAGGAAATTAAACGTGAAAAGTGTTAAACATTGTTTAGTTAGTTAACAGACAGAAACCTTCCCTGTACAGGTAACAGGGCAGTAGACAATGCCAGCTCCTTTATGAATATTGAGCTTCTTAAAGGGGTCATATGATTCGATTTCAATTTTTCCTTTCTCTTTGGAGTGTTACAAGCTCTTGGTGCATAAAGAAGATCTGTAAAGTTGCAAAGACTAAAGTCTCAAATCCAAAGAGATATTCTTTATAAAAGTTAAGAGTTAACCACCCCCCCCCCCTAAAACGGCTCGTTCTAACACATGTCTACCTCGCTATGTGGGAAGATTTGCATAACACCGCCCAAATGTTCACGCAAAGTAAGAAGGCGTAACTTTTATTCTCGCTGTAGTATTGTTGTTGCTGCCGCCGCCATGTCGTGAAGACACTGTGTTTCGTTGTGAAAGCGAAACTACTTTGTTTGGCCTTCCAAAAGAGGACGATATTCAGCCAATCACAACGCACTGGATAGCTGGCCAATCAGCGTACACCTCGCTTTTTCAGAACGATGAGCTTTGTAAAAATCGACGCGTTTCAGTAAGGCGGGGCATAGAGAAGAAACAATAATGTACATTATGTGGAAAATAATGTGTTTTTTTAACCTTAAACCACATAAACACATTGCATTACACCAAAAACACAACATAATGTTCTTTTTAGCAACGTCATATGACCCCTTTAAGCTACTATCACAGCCTGGCTGTTGCCTTCCAAACCTCTACATGCTTTATTCTCCATATCCATTAATGGTGTCTGAGCTGTTATAAATATATTACATTGGAACTAATATCTTACATGAGCTACAGAACATGTATAGCTATTTAGGTAACATAAGGTAAGTGGTCTGTTATAGTTATACAGTGTTGCCATGGACAACAGTCATTATACAGCAATATTTGTAAGCTGAATATCAAGACTGACCAACCAGAATCAAGTATTCATAAAATTCTAAAAATATTAGTCTATATACTAAATTTTAAGAAAATCAGTCTATATCATCTCTAGTCTCATATTTACAATACAAATGTGATGCACACTACATACATATTTTCATGTACATGTCTAACAAGAGAATAAATAAAAACCAAAGCAATAAATTGAGAACGCGCAGATTAGCGCGAGAGATTGTGCATTTAGGCGGCAAAGCTTTACTAGCCGTTACCGCGTCATCACATGACGCTCGGGCTCGCGCTTAAATTATGCAATTAGTAGAATCACTCTCACCCATGACACTATGCGAAGAATAGCCTGCGGTTGCTGAAAGAACGTAATTGGATCGAAGGTACCACCAGCCTTGCCAGCCCCGTATGCCTGCTCCATCCTCAGAGGTTCGTGAATTCTCCGTGTCTGAAGTTTTTATTATTTCTTTTTTAAATAAAAAGATAATTGACCTTGGTGTCAAATCAATGTATCCACGCGCTACACCGTGACTCTTCGCGCTTCGCCCTCGTCTGTCGACCGGTCTTAATCTTGGATGTCTGTTCGTGGAGGTTTTCTTGTAAAACGATGTCCCTTCCACTCCGTACCTCTCTCATTTCAAGGGTGGAGAGAGGAGACCGAGTAAACACGCATCCGGGGGAACACGAGAGCGCGCATTATGCTGTCAAGCTTGCGCACTCTCGAGGATACTTAGGCGCGCCGCCGACCACGTGCCCGCCAGACGCTGAGTAGTTACTGTGTTTACGTGGAAAGAAAGAAATTTGGCATAGGCGTAGATTACTTTAGTAAACGTCAACGGTGTCAGAGCAGGTTCAGCAATATTTAATCTTGGATGTCTGTTCGTGGAGGTTTTCTTGTAAAACGATGTCCCTTCCACTCCGTACCTCTCTCATTTCAAGGGTGGAGAGAGGAGACCGAGTAAACACGCATCCGGGGGAACACGAGAGCGCGCATTATGCTGTCAAGCTTGCGCACTCTCGAGGATACTTAGGCGCGCCGCCGACCACGTGCCCGCCAGACGCTGAGTATTTACTGTGTTTACGTGGAAAGAAAGAAATTTGGCATAGGCGTAGATTACTTTAGTAAACGTCAACGGTGTCAGAGCAGGTTCAGCAATATTCCTAAAACTTTGGGAACACATCGAAGGCCATTACATTGAATTTTAAAATGACAAATCCCTGTAACCTTGTGCCACCTAGTGACTGCCCGTAGCCCACACCCAGAGGACAAATGCTTAGTCATATGTAGACACAATATTAAAGGGGTCATATGATGCGATTTCAATTTCTCCTTTCTCTTTGGAGTGTTACAAGCTCTTGGTGCATAAAGAAGATCTGTAAAGTTGCAAAGTCTCAAATCCAAAGAGATATTCTTTATAAAGTTAAGAGTCAACCACGCCTACCTAAAACGGCTTGTTCTAACACGCCCCCAACATGTCTACGATTTGCATAATGCCGCCCAAATGTTCATGCAAAGAAAGTAGGCGTATTTTTTATTCTCGCTGTAGTATTCGGTTGTTAAGTGGTGACATAAGAAGCGCTGTTTCCGGGTCCAAGCCACAACTCGCTTCCCTTGAGAATATCACCTCAGCAGCCGTTTATGAGCACTGTTTATTCATATTAAACATCTAAGCTCAACGTTTTCAAACTTACGGTCTACACTACAGTGTCCATGCTCACAGCGTCCCAAACACAAATCATTTTTATATTTATTTATTTAAATTTTAATTGTCTGGCCATCTGGGATTTCGGTATAGAGTTAAAGGTTAGGACTATAATTTTTTTTGGTAGTATTATATCACATTGTGAGTGTATATTAGCACCTTTTGTTGTTTTCTCGTGGTATCTGATTGAGCGTTTGGACACGGAAGCGGTGACACGTGACATCAGACTTAACAAGCAGATTGTTGTTGCCGCCGCCATGTTGTGAAGGCGCTGTGTTTCGTTGTGAAAATACTTTGGTTGGCCTTCCAAAAGAGGACGATATCTGCTTCGACATGCCTGGAGCTGATCCGTGCTGGTCGCTGAGGAAATACATCAACTTAGTGCTGTGGATCACCGGATCTGCTTTCACCGTGGACGAAGCGGAGTCCAGCCTGGGTTCGTCACATGTGGTTGCCGCAAGCCTGCCGGACACTCCTTCGTCGAACCCGCCCGCCTCTGCTTGCTCAAGCCGGCCTCCGCATACTCTAGGACGCGGCTCACTCTAGGCCGCGGTGTGTGACGCAGTTTCGTTGTGAAAGCGAAACTACTTTGTTTGGCCTTCCAAAAGAGTACATGACTAGAAATCAGTGGTTAAATTGTATTTACAACACTGTTCCAGAACAGTTTAACCCAAATATTCAGATGTGTCCAGCGCATTTTATGGAGGACTGTTTCCTGATCCTGGTAGACCACAATGCCAGCTGTATAGCCGGCTGTTCCGTTTTGGCAGGTCACGTTAGTCAAGCTTGCATCAGCTGACTCTCAGCTGATCCCCATCAACCTATGGGAATACGACACCTATCTAAGTATTCATATATAAGGTCCCGCAGTAGTATCAGCAGTTTTCGCATTGCTCAATAGCTAATTACCCTCCTCCATCCCCAACTCCTCCTCTGTCAGTCAGGATTCAGCCTGATTCTCCTTTGAATCAGACTAATTCTAAAATGTGTATATAACATTATTGAACTTAACGATATCTGCAATACATTTATGTTGGTTCTGTTCTGTTTACCCTGGGGGGTTATTGCTGCTCTCCCTGCTCTCATCCATGCTAGGCTGCATGGAGGCGCAGGGAGTTCTTGCCCAGAACAGAACCATACCGCCAATCCAAACTGTATGCTAATTGTCAATCATCTTTGACGATAGTGGTCCTGACAGAAACACATTTCATTACACCAAATACACAACATAATGTTCTTTTTAGCAGCATCATATGACCTCTTTAAATAAAAATATTTATTTTGTTTATGGTAAGTAAAACCAAAAATAAAGATAGGGATGCACCACAAACTGTTCCAAATTCACTTGCCAAAAGCTGTTATGCCAACAATTTCAACTTTACAGGTGGTGATGGACAAATCTAAATAATACGATGTTTTTTTATATTTATATTAAGCCGTTATAATATAATATTATATAATAATTAATTCCTTAGCATAACTTCTGTAATGACAGGAACATCATTAAAGAAAACTATATATTTACACACACACTTTGAAGAGGAATGACGAGAGACTACTGTTGCTACATAGGTCTCTTTTAGTTAGAAATAAAATCAATAAGACTGAAGTGAGAGTGTAAATTTACTAGGGTGTTATTTACAAATAAGTGGTTCACAGAGTTAAGTAAGAGTGCTTAATCAAGCAATACTTGTTTTTAAAAAAATACTTGGTACAATATTTGTGTAAATTCATCCATGCACATCCTTTTCAAGCACAGTCTGTATCTTCAGTCACACACAAAAAGTCCATAAATGAAAAAGGTTCAAAATTGTACTTCCACAGTTAACAGAATAGAATTGCAGTGGTTCTGATTTATGGCAAACGTTCCAATGCACTACAGCAAAGATTAATGCGAAAACATTTTCACAGGTGTCCAAGGTAAGTCAGTCAAAACACAATTCCTACTGCTGCACTGAACCAACAGGGAAGGCTTATTCAGCGTACAAAATGTGTTCTGTACAGTATATATGCAGAACTTTTTATTCATATCTAAGAGCAGTTTTCCTAACCCAAACAGTCTCCTTAAAACATATCTAAAAAATGGCAACACTGGTTTTAGTTGAGTACAAAAGGGGAACTTTTACCAATAGTACAAAATACAGTGTCATTATGTGTCAACCACTAGGATTCGATAAGTCACGTTGGAGTAAACGCACTAATTTATTCAGCAAACATTTCACTCCTGTTTTTGAAATATATACGATTTCCACACATCTTAATGGTTCAGCTCTACATAGTAATATAAACAAATTAAACGTTTGTGTAAACCACTACAATAAAAGTCATTATAGATTGATAAAATCTTTCAATCCTTACAACAGCCCTCTTTTTCACCTATATCACATTAATATTCATTTTCATTTATATTTCTTTTGAAAAGGAAAAAGCTCTTTAAGGCTTATGGATTACTTCCCAAAGTCTCAAGTTTAAAATGGCTCATGGTCATTCTTATAAAAAAATGGGTGTCACTTAAGGAAAGCGAGACAACTCTTTGAGAAGAGTGCAGATTCAAAGTTATGGCTCCCTCTGGCCTCATGAACTGCTGCCAGAACTACATCAGATGTTTAACCCATCTGAAGGACATCTAAAAGGGTGTGAGGACTTCAGATGCTTCTTTACACGTGGCATTCAGCGCTAATTCTTGGTACCTAGTCTTGATGGTTGGAATTATGGCTTATCACTCAGGTAAGTGCCATGTCTCTTATTGTGCTTTTCATCCGACTCTTTTCCAGCTCTGCATCTTCATCACTAGTAAGCATATATAAGAACAAAATGTATAGCCAAGATGGTGCCATAACCAGTCCTGGACAGCATGTGTTACTTGACGTTGAACACCATGAGGGGCCTCTCTTCACGCTTTTGCCAGGGGCTCTTCTTATTCTCTCCATCATCATCTTTGCCGTCGGCTTCATTGTCATCATCAGGACTGGTGACAGAGTCTCTGTGGACCTCGCTGGCACTACTACGGGTGCTGTTATCCCGACTGCGGCCTTTACGAGGGAACGTCCCTCCTCTGGATTCAGAGGTCTCGTCAAGCAGTGGCGCTGTGGAGTTCTCCTCAGTTGAGTACACAGCTGAATGGCTCTCGCTGCTTGAGTCTGGCGTTTCGATAACGGGAAGCTTGGAATAAATCTTTCCATGAGCTTTTCTTTCACCTCCCTCCTTCCCTCTGCCCTCCTCTTTTAGTTTCCGGTGAGTCGATTTCCCTGAACTCACGGGGAGTGCTTCAGTACGGTGGTCCTGGGCTAGATTGCTGGGGCCCACGGGTGCACGCAAGGCTTCATTACTTAGCTCAATGTAGGAGTGTCTAACAAGAGAGTTTGAACGTCCGTCAAGGGAAACGAACCAGGCACGAGGGTGTGGCTTTACTCCAAGCTCCAGCAGCTTCTTCTCTGTCATCGCTTGCAGCTCTCCATTCATTTGTGCAATGGTGGAGTCATTGAAAAGGACAGGAATACGGACGGGGGCAGTGGACTGTTCCGATCCCCAGTTCTCCTCTGAAGGTCCCTCTGCTTGCTGGCTAGACGACAACTCTTCCTTTTCTTGCCTGGCCTGCTGCTGCTGTTGTTGTTGCTTTTGGTGTTGACTCTGTTGCCGTGGCAGCGTAATGCTAACCTGGATGCCCTCCATATCATGCTGCAGCTGTTGCTGCCTTTCCATTGCCTGCTCCACAGCTGACAGGTCAGAGGACAGATGCATATAATGTGCAGGGATGACCAGCGTGGGCACCATGCTGTGGTACATGCTCTCCTTCATCTGCTCCATAGAATGACAGAAGATCAGCTGGCCAGGCTGGGTGTTTACAGAACTGGGCCGACTGAGGTGATCCCCTGCCGGTGCATAATACTCTGGGGGCATGCTGTCCCGACTGTGATCCTGATAGTGGCCAGTAAATGGTGGCAAAAGGAAGGACATCTAAAAGGGTGTGAGGACTTCAGATGCTTCTTTACACGTGGCATTCAGCGCTAATTCTTGGTACCTAGTCTTGATGGTTGGAATTATGGCTTATCACTCAGGTAAGTGCCATGTCTCTTATTGTGCTTTTCATCCGACTCTTTTCCAGCTCTGCATCTTCATCACTAGTAAGCATATATAAGAACAAAATGTATAGCCAAGATGGTGCCATAACCAGTCCTGGACAGCATGTGTTACTTGACGTTGAACACCATGAGGGGCCTCTCTTCACGCTTTTGCCAGGGGCTCTTCTTATTCTCTCCATCGTCATCTTTGTCGTCAGCTTCATTGTCTTCATCAGGACTGGTGACAGAGTCTCTGTGGACCTCGCTGGCACTACTACGGGTGCTGTTATCCCGACTGCGGCCTTTACGAGGGAACGTCCCTCCTCTGGATTCAGAGGTCTCGTCAAGCAGTGGCGCTGTGGAGTTCTCCTCAGTTGAGTACACAGCTGAATGGCTCTCGCTGCTTGAGTCTGGCGTTTCGATAACGGGAAGCTTGGAATAAATCTTTCCGTGAGCTTTTCTTTCACCTCCCTCCTTCGCTTTGCCCTCCTCTTTTACTTTCCGGTGAGTAAATCTCCCTGAACTCACGGGGAGTGCTTCAGAACGGTAGTCTTGGGCTAGACTGCTGGGGCCCACGGGTGCACGCAAGGCTTCATTGCTTAGCTCAATGTAGGAGTGTCTAACAAGAGAGTTTGAACGTCCGTCAAGGGAAACGAACCAGGCACGAGGGTGTGGCTTTACTCCAAGCTCCAGCAGCTTCTTCTCTGTCATCGCTTGCAGCTCTCCATTCATTTGTGCAATGGTGGAGTCATTGAAAAGGACAGGAATACGGACGGGGGCAGTGGACTGTTCCGATCCCCAGTTCTCCTCTGAAGGTCCCTCTGCTTGCTGGCTAGACGACAACTCTTCCTTTTCTTGCCTGGCCTGCTGCTGCTGTTGTTGTTGCTTTTGGTGTTGACTCTGTTGCCGTGGCAGCGTAATGCTAACCTGGATGCCCTCCATATCATGCTGCAGCTGTTGCTGCCTTTCCATTGCCTGCTCCACAGCTGACAGGTCAGAGGACAGATGCATATAATGTGCAGGGATGACCAGCGTGGGCACCATGCTGTGGTACATGCTCTCCTTCATCTGCTCCATAGAATGACAGAAGATCAGCTGGCCAGGCTGGGTGTTTACAGAACTGGGCCGACTGAGGTGATCCCCTGCCGGTGCATAATACTCTGGGGGCATGCTGTCCCGACTGTGATCCTGATAGTGGCCAGTAAATGGTGGCAAAAGTGGAGGTGGAGACGGTGGGTCTGATGAATAGCCCTGGTTGTCTTTTGCATTATGGTGATGATATCTGCGCTCGTCAGAGTCCTCAGCAGAGCTGTAACCTTTGCTATAGTCATCCTGCAGGAGCGGGTCTCGAGTTCCTGTGTTTGAGGAGCGAGTGGTCTTCAATGGGAAACTCTCTCCTCGCTTTGTGTCAGCGTTTATCCTGGAGTTGTGCTGTCTCTGGGTGGGGCCATGTCTGAAGAAGTCCTCTCGAGAGCTGTGTAGATCACGGTTGGAGGAAAGGTCAGATTTGATGCCGTCATGGTCGGCGGCCGAGGATGCTGTCTCCATGTGTCCACCACTGATGAGATTTAGGTGGGAAGTGGATGTGCCCTGGTCTCTCTTTGAGCTCTCCAGAGTGGACGAGAGGTACATATTACGCCGATGCTGCCGAGGTTTTAGACACCGCCTCCTGAAATATTATAATAATATCTGTTAGATATTATACTAAATATACATATAAAGAAAAAATTTATTACTTTTGTTAACATAACTACTGACTACAGTTTCACTGAAATAACGACAAATACAAATGTAGTTTAGTGTCTTGCTCAATTTGCTCATGGAAGTGATCTTAAGCTCATGGCAAGACTTTTGTGTATGCCTATACAAAAGTCTTGCTGTGACATGGGTGTTTCAACTTAAGGCCAAGCCTACAAGTATAAGCTATTAATTACTTTTTTAGGCACACAACAAACACACACAGAGCAATGATACCTGCAGTAGTACAGTAGCAAACACAGCAGAATAAGCACTAGCAGGGCCATGGCACCCAGAATCGCTAGCAGGAAAATAGTGTGATAGGTAGTGATGTCCCTTAGACCAGAGGTGTTCAGACCTGTTCCTTTAACACAAAAATAAACATTGTTGTTTTATTTACCCATTAAAAAAGTAAACCAAAATTAAACCAAGCAGATTAAAATTAGGAAAGTAATGTTATAAGAAGATTACATTTTTTTTATTAATTGAATCTTTAAAGTCATTCTGTGTCATTTAATGGTTACTGATCAAGGAAAATGTAAGGATAAAATGGCTGTTATTTTTCATGCAATATAATATACCATGTAACTGCTGCTGGTCTCACCTGAGGTTGAGGGAAATGCTGCAAGCCAGTATCCTAAATTTGGAGCCACAAAACTCCATGTCATCTGAGTGCCCTCTTTTTTAATGTATCCAGCACCACTTCTGACCCATAAACCTGCAGCAAACCAGAACTTTATTACAAAATGAGCAGACAGTGATAAATGCAATGAAATCTTGTTTCAGCTTACAGGAAAAGCTCAATTAAATGCGAATGGGCAGTGCGCCAGGGACAGATTAGACCCAAACTGTGCCAGATTACACATTCAATAGCTTTTCTTCATTAAAAAGTCATTTTAGGTCTAGGATCAGTCTAGGTTACCATTCAATATTCAAAATCACACAGATAATGTAATATGGAGCACCAAAGCAGGGCAGTGAGGGACACAAATTTTGCAACAAACCCTAAGGCCAAACAAAAGAGCACAGAGAGTTAATATGTTCTGACATGTCCCTGACAAATACGATTTCAAATGTCTCCCTCCACTAAACACAAAATGCTCACCCTGTGCTGGACTTCACAATTGGAGTGTACACAATGAACCTGTTACTATGAAGAAATACTATACTACATATAATATCAGCAATAACATTATTTTTATTGGAATCTGTTGCTTTTTAAATACTGCTATTTATAATTACATATTTCACAGCTTTGTGCACTAAGTACCAGCTACCTACAGCACAAAACTCCTCAAGACCGACCCAGGCAGCTGCATGCAATGGGTAATTACGCACACTAGAAGGTGCTATATGTTCAGCTCAGCAGGGAGACTTGTGCTCCAAAGCAGGGGGCTTTCCCAGTATAGTAAGCCCCTGCAAGTACCATGTGCTAAAGCATCCGCTCTCTCTGTATGGGCTATTTTGTATGTGATCTGTCTTCAAAGCAAACAGACTTAGTAGCACATCTGAATGTTTTTATAATCTGAACACACTAGGGCATTCAGGCCCCACCCTTTCAAGATAAAGCAGAGGGGGACTGAGCAGTCAGTGAAATCATATAATATAATTTATGCGGTGTTAGTAAATGAGACTCAGAGAGTCGCATTCTCAACATCTACGTTTCTACAGTCTACAGAGCAAAGTCCGAAACAATACAGACTTTTGTGTCTATCACATGGTCAAAAACACATTTACTGAGAGTTCACAGCTGCCCACCGCTCAGGAATACAGGCCCCTGTTCTCCACAACTAACTATCCTCTGAAACACATTTCTCTCGGATCACCCACACACACACATATTCAAGGCTTTCTTTCTCTAAAGCTCTCAAGCATTCTCTATCTAGGCATCCTGGAAACTGGTAGGCACCGTTTGAGCAGCTCTATGTACTAAGCTACCATATGGTCTAAAATCATTTTTTCTTTGGCTCTAAAACAAACTCTTGCTTACCTTATCACTCATATCAAAAGTAATCTAATGAATGCCTGTCTCTTAGTTTAAAAGAAGACTAGAGGCCTGTGCAAATTGTATAAGACTGAATTATATTTCAGAGTTGTTTTTTGTTTGTAGAATTCAAATTATATGATATGATTAATATTAAAGTGATAACCAAATTATTAATACATGGTACTTAAGTATGAAATTACTTTATTATTTTATTGTGAAATAATACTAAATCTGTATCAATATCCAACCTATATCAAACAGACATTTTTATAGGGAGCTATACTCTGACAACAAAATATTCTTTCAACAGTCTTATCTGTCAGTTATCTTGAAAACAGGGTGGGCAAGGGTCAAAGGTGTCAGAGAAGGCTTTCCAGGCCAACTGACTCTCTTACTGACAGCTATCACAGTCCTGTGGGAATCATGGATTAGAAATTCCTTAAATGCATTGTGGGTCATCTTTAATTACTGTACCTTTATTTATCCAAGACCAGTTCAGGAAAATGAGCCAAGAATGACAAACATGCTAGGGCTGCAACAAACGATTATTTTAATAATCGATTGATCTAACGATTTATAACGGTATTAATAATTATATTAAAGCTTACATTATTCAACTTTTACAATTACTTAAAATATTGAGTTACATATTCTTACTAATAAATAAAACAATGTAAACATTTCAGCTTTTGAAAGTGTCAAACAATTATATTATTATTGTACAATTACAATTATTATAAGTTTGTTTACAAATCAAATAAATATATTTGGCACACAAAATGAAATCACAGACAGAGAGCCTTTCTCATTCACCATTTAATTAACTGTATGAAAAAGTGACTGATGGATAATTCTGCCTAACTACTCCTTTTGTAAGACATACGGGTATGGAACAAAATAAAGGTAAGTGATAAGACATCTCACCGCAGTCATTTTTGTTGTGCATTTACACACCGACTCTCATAAGCTCTGTGTGTGTCGTCTTCTCGAGCTGAATTACAGTCTTGAGCTACCGGCCCACACTGGAAAAACCGTGTTATTGCAGGCCCTTACATTAGGTCATTTGAGATCAAACGAATATTCGACAACAAAAATATTTATCGACAATTTTTTATTGTTGACGTTGTCGATAATATCGACTAATCATTTCAGCCCTAATTCATGACAAAGTATGATTGCATGAAAGGGACAAGGTGGCAATCAAAACAAAAAAACATATAGATGTATGTAAGTATATATAGATAGATAGATGTCAATTCAAAAGTTTCATAAATAGGATAATGTATAATAAAACAAACATTACACAACAACTTCTAATGCCCTTTGATGGGCATCTGTCAAAACCTTACCATAGGAAACCAGGGAGTCTGATTACATTCCCTGACCAGTCATTCATTTGCCTACTGTGGGTAAAAGGGGAAGTTGGGATTAGGTTGCCATAGACTAAGCTGCTTAGTTTAATATGTCACAATCATTTAAGATTTCTCTGTGGAGCTAAGAAAGGTTAAATTAACCTTTAACCACACTTTAGGAGAGAGCTAAATAAGCAGCCCAGACATTAGAGTGAAGAGCTGAAAAAATGTATCACAGATGTACAAGATAACCTGGAATGACGTGCAACTATATCAAGAGCAATCTATGGAAAACTAAGACCTGAATATAAAGCCAGAAAGTGAGCCAGTACCCTCTTTTAGTCATATTGATTTTTCCACCAGAGCTGTTCTCTTTATTAAGCTGGCATCTGAAGGATCTAGGGAATTCTGCAAAGCTTGCCAGGAACTAAATCACATCCTGTTTTGGGAGCTATGTCATGATGGCGTCAATGTCTGCTTTATGAATTGGCAGGCAATTATCTCTCCAATGTGAGAAGACCTAACAGCTTCTTTGATTTGTACTGCACACTCACTTCATCTGCTCTCACTTTATCTGATCCTGCTTGAATGGCTCTCAACTAGATCTGGAAATTCCACAGTGTCTTTCTCCATCTTTCCTCCTTTATTAACTATTTTTCTTTCCATCACTCAGCTTCTTGTACACTTTTAAACATTGGCGTCAATGTCTGCTTTATGAATTGGCAGGCAATTATCTCTCCAATGTGAGAAGAACTAACAGCTTCTTTGATTTGTACTGCACACTCACTTCATCTGCTCTCACTTTATCTGATCCTGCTTGAATGGCTCTCAACTAGATCTGGAAATTCCACAGTGTCTTTCTCCATCTTTCCTCCTTTATTAACTATTTTTCTTTCCATCACTCAGCTTCTTGTACACTTTTAAACATTTACAACCCCCTCTCCCAAATGTGAGGTTAAGCCCTTGTCATCTCACTCCGAGTCCTCATATTCTGACTTAGTTTTGCTTGCATGAACTATCACAGGGGTGTCCAATTCTTTTTTTTTTTTTTTTTGGAAGGCCAATGTCCTACAGAGTTTAGCTCCGACATGCCTCAACACACTTGCATGGAAGTTCTAGTATTCCCGACAACCTTCATTAGCTGGTTCAGGTGTTTAATAAATAAAAAACTCTGCAGGATAGTGGCCCTCCAGGAGCAAGATTGGGCACCCCTGAACCATTGGGTACTAGGCTGCTGTAGAATCTGGATCAGCAAAAGGGTAAATAGAACATGGTCACCCTCATGATCACACTGATAAAGTTTCTAGTTTGATCCCTATAAGGAGTAACACTGGATAAAATTGTCTGTTTGCATACTGTTGTTTAAAGTTAACCAACATTTTGTTAAATGCTGTTTACCTGTCCTGTCCTCGAACCTCCATACTGGGACACTGGTGGCAGTCTTGAGAGGTGAGTCAGAAGGAAGGGGGATGGAGATGTGAATGGGTTCTGACACCTGGACCTCAGTGCCGTTGGGCCCAGTGAGCTGAGCACACATTGCAGCTAGAGCAGTTAGCTCCACCCAGCTACTGTTGGTTCCTGAAACAAGGCAGACAGTAATAGCAAAACATGGATTAAAATCCATGAGGCCACTGTTGCAAGCCTCTGTTTACAGCAGTATTCTATGCAATGATGAATGATTAAAGTGAGGGGGGGTAGTAATGCTAGATGCATGGTAACTCCACAGAAACATATTTCTTTGAAGAGGTGTTTGGATAATCTCACCTGTAGAGTTGTTCTCCAAGGCAAGGGGGTAAGGAAAGCCCCCAAGCTCATACTGACTGCGGGAAGAGGTGAGCCTTGCAGAGAGGGTAATTTGGGAGCTGTTTAGGGGTGGTCGGATGGCTCTCCTCTGAAGCTGTACCCATGGCTGTCTCCGGGATCCTAGACAACAGGGATTTATAAAAGACTTTAATAAAAATGTACAGGTATAGTGAGTACGGATAAATTAATTGTAAGGAATTTATGGTTTATGATAAAGAATGAAGTCATAACGGTTTCACAAATCAGACTACAATGTCTGCCTTGTATGACTGTTGTATGAGTTATTGCCAGTTATTTCTTCCCAGCCCTAATAATGCGCTGCTCTGGGGTTTGTTGTTTCCATGTGTTTTACTAGTTAATTAAGTCAACATCCACTTCCTTTAACCAATGTTGCTGTTATAATGAGTGTTATAGTGATTTAACATTTCTCTGCTATAGCTGCTTTGCTTTACTCTCCTCTCTTGCCTGTCAGAGAGAGGAATTGCAAGATAACTTTATGTGAAAGCTGTGGGGCAGGGCTAATAATTTGTAAGAAATTGCTAAAAATATCTCAAGACAGATAAAGACAATTTTTCCCAGAATGGGGGTAACAATGGAGTTTCTTGAATTTCTTGAAACATTTTACAAGAAGAATACAGAGCTCAGAATCCACACTGCAGTAATCCCTTCCCCTCCTCCAATTGGCTCGCTTTGTGTGGAAGAGGCAAATAGTAATAAAAGAATAAGAAGGCCTAAAAATATAAGCGTGTATCTCTCACTGTAGGCTGTCTGCTCCGATTAGTGCTGGGTTAGCCGGTCACTGATCAGCCCAGACATCTAGGATAGCATGAGAGTGCTTGGGGACCACTGAAAGCAGGCAGGCAGTGACACTCCCTCTTTTGGCCACAGTTATTCATTTATGTACTTACCATATCCAGCTCTTGATGAGAGGACAAACTAATACAGCACAAATCATCCAAAGGAATCTCTAAAATTAAACCAGATACCATTTGCCTAACCATCTCCATTTGAGCAACAGAAACAAACACAAATACCAGCATTTAAGACAAGCATGAGATTCAATTAGGCTATAAAAAGCAAGGATAATGTGATAGCCTACTCACTGACTAATATCTTTAGGTTTCTGTCTCTTAGCCTAATTGCATACCGTGGCACAAGCAGCGATTTGCATCTTACACAATGACAAGAAGGGCAGCAACAGCATCTGACCAACAAAGCTTGCATTTCCTCTAGGATTGCACAAGGATTGGGCTGCAGATGGGTTGATCCCCTGTAAACCTGACACTGAAAACTATGATTATGCAGTAAAAGAACGGAACAGTCTAGTTGGGACTGGTGCTTTGCCAAATGGCAAGCCTCCTAAGGAGCTTGGGCATTTTGAATGGCATAGTGAATCCCCTTCATGTGCAAAATCATGTGGTTGGCCTCCCTGATGACCTCGTTCTATCAGAGAGATGCTCAGTGATAAACATCACAAATGTCAGTTGGCTTCATGAATGGCATGAACATAACTGCATATAAAAATATATCCCCTTAAAATTTACAGATGACATAAAAAGTAAATGGAAAACAACACATTTCTTATCACTGACCATTGGTCTCCCCCAAACTTCTAGGTTTAGTTTATTCTCTTTTTGTTGGGCAACTGGGCCTACTTTGAAATGCTACCAACAGGCCCAATATTATTGAAGCAAAGCAAAACCTTTCTGGTTCAAAGGGGAGTGTTCACTGACTCATATCATTCTAAAGACGGGCAGAGAGCTAGATTGAGAAAATGAAAACCCCTGAGGGAGTCAGCTCACCAAAGAGACATACTACTCATGAAAAATAACTAAAGTGCTCTTCCCTCAACTGCACCAGCCAATTTATCACCATTTCCATGACAAAGCCATAGATGTTAGTAGCATCAGTGGGCCTTTTGTACAGAGAGTCAGCTCACCAAAGAGACATACTACTCATGAAAAATAACTAAAGTGCTCTTCCCTCAACTGCACCAGCCAATTTATCACCATTTCCATGGGAAATGGCTATTTGAATGCTATAGATTAGTATTGCTGACCTTGGGGTCAATCTGTCTGAGAAAAACAATGAGAGTTAATGCTGAGTGCCTGTTACCCACTCTGACATAGATGCATTCAATTGTGAGAATGGCCAGCTTGGGGTCAGAGTTAAATGAATGTGTACCATCTGCTTACAAATAATTATTAATATAAACTGGATTCATTAATTGGATAAATTATTACACATTTGGATGAATGTGTCTGCTAAATAAATGCCAATTTGAGAAAAAATAAATAAATACAGATAAAAATAAGTGAGTAACATGAGTATTAGAGATAATTGTTACATAATATTGCATTTTACCTCAGAAAAGTTAACCATTATTATAGGTCACAGCCAGTAACATAAACTCTAAAGTACATTTCATTTGCAAAGTATTTAATTCATTTTCTAAAAATAGGCTTTGTTACACAGTTGTTAAAATATAAACAAAAAATATAAACTGTCTGCATATATTTTGTGATACATACTATTACTGTGATCAGTATGAAATTAGGTATGGACATTTTTCAAAAATATTGTATTAGAATATTTGGGCTCATAAAAAAACAGTATTTGTTTATGTAAATGACGTTTAACAAGAAAGACGTTATTTTTTAATCAAGTTTTTGTCACCATTTCTGAAGAAGCTTTTGATTAGGCATTATACACAACGTTCTACAACAACGTAACATTATATCTCAAGGTTTCCTTTTAGCTGAAAACAATAAGAATGCGCGCCGACACAGGTGTTCCCGAGACACAAAGATAATGGTGTGCTAAGCAAAGTTTCTTACATCGCTTTGTGTTTTCTGTTCTTAAAACACTTTTCCTCGAGGAAACTTAAAGCATATGTCTCAAGATAATTTTGCTATCAGATAAGCTCTCTTCTCGGCTCACACTTGATCAAAGTAATTCCAAACTTCGCGAGGCAGACGACGACATTCTGTGATCAAACACATTCAACTTGTTAACACACTCCACAGCACCACCCAGTGCATTTAGTTATAACTGACTTTTAGTTTGCGTGCTTAGGATTTATCATGGATTCCCTGCATTTACGGCCAGCAAAGCAAAACGTAGTACAATTCAAATAGTGTTTTTATTTTTCAAATAATAATTACATATTGAATATTCTAATATTCAACTATTTGTGCACATCCCTATATGAAATGGTATTAAAAATACTCATATGAAATATGACTCTGGCCATAACTCCCACCCCCATATGGTAGCAATCAGTCAGTTCATCCAAACAAGCATTTTTTATGTAATCTTTATCCGGTACTGGAGATTAGCTATCTATCAAAAGGATTAGTGCACTTTCTGAGCATGTAAGCCACACTGGAAAACCACATTAAGTCATATAATTATCAATGTCTGAATGATGTCAATTCTATGGCGATCACCTGCAGACTGCCATTTTGTCAATGGTTTGATTTACAGCAGTAAGAATGACTCAATAGATCTCTGTATCTCAATAGGCCCTGTGCCTGGAAGCTGTTCATGCAAGCAGGTCTCAGGAGATTTACATTCAACTCACACTCACGCTTGATTCTCACCAGTTTATTCTCAGAAAAACACTTCCCTCCTTTTTCACCTTGCCTCCCTCTCTAGTCAACAAAGTAATTTCTCAACTCTCTCTTCATTGCACATGTTCTTAGTTACAGATGTGCTTGCGCTCTGTTGGGAGAGGAAGACATAATGCTCCTCTTGGCCAGAGATTGGAAAAATGAAGAAGAGAGAGGATGTTAGAAGGCTGATTTATGCATAGTTTTAAGGTAGATTTAACTAGAGATAGGGCTATCATAATAAATTGGGTTTTTTTTTTGTAAAATGGTTGTAGTCACTGCAAATATTGACAAGTGTATCAAAATTGCAATTCAGTTCAATCCAGTATAATTCTAAATTCACACTAATTAAAATGCACCTAAAGACATCCAGATATACAAACACAGCAATGACATACAACAATGCCTATTCAAACATTCAATTTGCCCATTTATATTTGCATGTTTCTAAACAAACCCTCAAGCCCAAATCAATTGAGTAACTTCTTTTCAGGCGGGCATGCTGTGAACACAAAAGTCCACCCACGCTACGGCTCAGAGTTTAGGCTGTTTCTGTCAGTACATTCGCTTGACTCACTTTTCATAAAAATGCTCCCAAAAAACATAGCCCGACTCTGCAAACAAATACTCTGAAGGTGCATGTTTGAACAAAACAATTAAGGCACATGTTGTATTGTGCATGGCTTTTCTCAATACAGGAGGCATTAACAAGCTCTTTACAACAGTGGTCAGCAGCAAACCCTCACTGACAAACTAGCAGATCTCAGATCAGGTTTTACATGACACATTCCTCCCACGCAGCAGAGACAGATATGCAACACTTTAATAATAACCCCTCCTGTTACAAAATGCACATTCTACTACTTAAAATAATTCTATACTTACTCTAGTAAATAAATATATTACAAATATAATATAGCATTTAAAAACATGTTTAGAAGTTTTTTTTATATGACTGTAGCATATACTGTATATATATATATATATATATATATAAACTCAAAAGAAAATATTATTCCTAGCTTTATAGAAACAAGCATATGAAATTCAAGAGATAAATGCTATATTATCACTACAGTAGCTTTGATGCACAAAATTGTAAAGCAACCTGTTTAATTTCAGTTAAACAGGTACCTGATTATGTAATCATCCACGACACATCAGATGTTAAAACTGAAACCAGAATCCTGCAATTATCTGAGACTGATTTAACAGCTGTTATTATTATTACAGTTGTTTTTATTAAATAAAACGACAAATTTAGTTTTTAGTAATTGAAATAAAGCTTGAATTGAAATAAAATAAAAAATATATATTAGACAAAACATTTACTTTTATAAATAAAAATAAATTCAAAATATGATTAAATTCTATGATAGTTTATAAATACTACAAAAACTGTTTCACAGTTGTTTGACATTTTAATATAGTTGTTTATAGACTGATTGTTGAGAGTGTTGAAATTCAGTTCAAGTTCATATATCTTCAGCTGTAGGTCAACAACTGTGGTATGACGCCACAATGACAAAGGATCATAGTTGTGGCCAATTACATTACGTTATTACATATACTGTTTATTTCACTGGCTGCTTAAATAAAACTTAAGTTTAAGCTTGTTTAATTAGATGGAAAGATCTAAAGGAATACGTAAAGCATCTGTGACCTCCTGACAATTTTCACTGTATCCATTTTCAGTATCACTCAAGCCAGATTAAAAAAAAACTAACACTTTGGTACAGTAATGTACAATTACTCAAATACTTTACGCCCTTATTAAAATGTCTAAATCGGTCAGCGAGGCCTTTTTTCTGTGCTGGGCCCAACAAGTTGCCCATTTATTTCTGGAACAGCTTGGAGACACTGATGGTATTCTGGTGCGAGAGCCTCTCTTACTGAATGTGAAGAGGGAACAAGAGCAAGCTGTCATGCTTTCAGCGAAGAGGGAATGGGAGGACACTGCACCTTTTGAGTGCATGCAACTATAATCACTGAGCACATCAGAGACACCCCTATATGCACAGAGATCAAGCTCATTAAATTGATAAGCATCAGGCAGAAAGAGCTGCATCAGGATGCCTACACACAAAACACATGCAAGTCCGACCCAAATGTTTAATGTCATGATTGTTACCATCTATTTCCATTAGTTTATATCCAGCTGGTCACATTATTGCATTTGTTAGCCAGCAAAGTTGCAGATTTAAAGATGTGACGAGAGAAAGCAAACTCTGATATGTTGATTCAGTCAACTGAGCGCCAGTCACACCGTTTTCCATTAAATTACATTATCTTTGTCCCAAATCATAATGACTTCACTCTAGGTTGTAAAATTGTTTATTGTGCATTTTTCAGCGAAATGTTTGTCTTTCTGTGGCTCTAATAAAGTCTGTGTGCTTCATATAGAGAGCTATAATATAGATCGCTCTTTCTCTTTCCGTTTGCTCAGTTTTTTTTTTAAACACCGAACTTCAAACTCATCTATGCTACTTTGTTCATTCTTGAAGTAAACTTTTGCCCGGTGATTAAATAAACTGTTTTAGACCGCTGCTTGAATTGAACGTGTTGCGTCCGGTGTGTGGGTGATACCTGATACCTGCGAGTTGTCCTAGATGCGACGCGGTGCTGTGCTTTTGCCCGTTGTGTGACTAACATATTTTGTTATTTTAATTAGATAATCAAATTTTTCAAACAGAAGCAAATAAAGTGTGATAGTATACATACAATATCCATATGTATGTAATTTCAGTGCTATGGTCTTTGTGTAGATATTTAAAGAGGACCATCTTTAAACATGACTGTTGAAATGAAATGGTAACACTTTACAATAAGAGTCCATTTGTAACATTAACTAAGGTTGATAAAAAGCTGTAGAATATTGTTCCTTGTTAGAGTGTGTTAATTTCAACATTAACGAATACATTTTTTAAATTTTAAAGTAGCTTCTGTTAACATTAGTTAATGAACTATGAACTAAGTTTAATGATCAATATATAATTAATAGTATTTGTATTCATTTTCAAAGTATGGTTCAAAACTTATTTTTTTATGGTAAAGCACTATTTTAGTTTTTGTTAAGTATCCATTTTAAAAACTACTGGTTGATTCATTGAGGATATGTAGTGCTTTGATATTCACACTTCCCACCCAGAAAGCATTTAACTAAAAGTCACTTTCCCACAACCATAATTTGAGCCATAACACTCTCTATTAAACACCTGACTGGCACTGCAAAACACACGAGCCACCCAGGCAACACAGGCAGCAGTTTCTCTAAATCTTCCTTACGTTGCCAGAGGAAACAACCTCTTTCCAAAGCAAATGTGTCATTTGATCACGTTTGTAAATCTTAATGACATTTATTGAGCATGCAACGTGGTGAAATAGCTAGCAGGCATTGCGTCCAGTCTCAGTTAAATTGTGTCTGCTTATTGGCAGCACTTGAGATACGAGACTATAGTGTTAGCCTGATTATTAAACAACCAACTCAGCAGTTCCACACATCTGCACATGTAACCACCGCAGGATGTGTGTGAATCAATGGAGCAGCATTTGGATCTCAGATTCCAAGCGAACCATGTGGAACACAGCCTGGCTGAACCGCCACAGAGAATCAGTAAACCCGTATTAAAGACAGACATAAAGCATCAGTCAAACCTACTGAAAAATGTTGGTACTCATATGGTTATCATAGGTATGAGCCCAAACTGTGATGTACTGATCCCTTTCTCTCCCTAGTAATTCCCATTCCCCTTTTCATAGCACTATAAATAAAAAGATTAAGAGTGGTAAGAGTTGAGGCTCTTTAAGGCTACGGTTAAAGGGACAGTCACCGTTTACTCATCCTCATGTTGTTCCAAACCTTTCTTCTGTGCAACACAAAGGAAGATATTTTGCAAAATGCTGGGAACCAAACAATATTTGAGCCCATTGGCTTCCACTGTAAACAACACTTTATATTGCTCAATATCCTCCTGTATGTTCCACAGAAGAAAGAAAGTCATACTGGTTTGGAAGGACATGAATGAGAACAAATGCTGACAGAACTTAAATTTTTGGATGAACTGTCACTTTAAGGCTAAAAACAGAAAAAAAGCTCACCTGGAGAACCCAACAGTAACTGCACCACATCGTCATACAGCAAGAGAGTGGCTGGTCTCTGGGGAAGTAAGTACAGACTTACGGAGGCATATACTGAAACACAAGTGAGAAAGAAACAAAAACAGAAGCATTAGTACACTAGCATTTAAATATTTAAGGTTAGTAAAAAACAATTTTGTAATGAAATTAATACTTTTTGTCCGCAAGGATGCATTAAATTGGTCAAAAGTGACAGAAAAGACATTTACAATATTACAAAACATTTATATTTCAAATAAATGCTGTTCTTTTGAACTTTCTATTCTTCAAATAATCATGAAAAATGTATCATAGTTTCCCAAAGTATTAAGCACTGTAACTGTTTTCAACACTGATAATGAGAATCTTACTTAGTATCTTACTGCAGTGGTTCCCAACCCTGGTCCTGGAATATCCCAACTCTGCACATGTTGTATTTTTCCCTATTCAAAAATGTATCTGGATACTCTCATCAGTTCATTAGTAGAGACACAGGCCCTGTTTACACCTGCTATTAAGATGCATTTTGGTCGATCCGATCACAAATGGATGATGCTAATTACAGGTGTTAATGGGGTGTAAAACCTTTTAAGCTTGTCCACTTTAGACCACTTCCAGAGGTAGTCGAAAACACATTTGATCGAATTGCTCTCATAGTGTGGATGCACATGTGGTCGCATGCATTCGAACAGCCACAAAAGACCGCCTCCTCTCTGCCTCCTGACCTAAAACTAAAACATTATGGGACGAGTAGTTGAAGCGTGTTAGCCAGACAGGATTTCAATTTGCCATCTGGAATCGTAAGTTTGGGTTGAAGGCGAAAAAATGTCAATGTCTGCTGCCCTTTGTATCATTTTTGTTGTCTCCTTTCGCATTTTTATGTAAATTGGGTAAGCTTATTTCACAATATTAAATCAAAAGATCAGAAAAAGCCCATACATACATTTGCCCAAAGACCCTCCCCTCAAAATCAGGACAGAAGTGGCCGAAAGTGGACAGAAGAGATGGATTAAAACACCAGGAGTACATGGTAATGTGTCCCTTGTCTACTTGTGATTCAATCGACCAAAATGCATCTCAATACCAGGTGTAAACAGGGCCTCAAAGACCTAAAATGGGTGAGTCAGATAAGAGAGATGTCCAAATGGTGTGTACTGTTGGGGGTACTCCAGGACCAGGGTTGGGGTTGTCTTACTGCATCTTACTTAGCATCATTTATATCCTATTGTTTTTCTGTGATCTACATCAGTAAACCAACCACTTGCTTTCATTTTCAGGGATCATTGACCCTGGAGAACACAAGACTTTTGTTTTTTGATGTAAGAATATACAGTAGTTCACCAGATGTAGCTGCTATAGCTCACAGGTGTGAGACATGACTCAGTACAGTCAAATCCTCAGGTTTGCAACACAGCAGGAACCCCTGATCTCACTTCAAACAAGTAAAACCTGACAAAATCTGAGATAGCCCTGAAGGCCAAATGAGCTGATGGTGTGGTAATGTTCGACAGGAACTCATACATCAGCTCATTTGGCCTTCAGTGGGTCTTTGTTTTGGACCCATCAATATTTTGTCCAGAGGACAGACATTTAAAAGCAAACATCAGAGCCTTTGACATATCATGTGAAGTATGAGAAGGTTACCCATTGGCATGTCAACATTAAATATTTCTTTAACTTTAAAATCTTTTTTAGTTTTACATTTTCTTGCACTAAAACTATGGTGCCAACAACATCTATCTTTGTCAGCTAATCTAAATGTACCTCACCCTTCAGTGCTCCTCTATGGGCAGGAGGACATATGCTGGCAGAGCTCCAGAAGACTGTTGCATGCTGGGAGCAGAAATCCTGTGTCCATTTCCCATCTGCTATGGCACATTGAAATCTCCCCCCTGCCTATCCACACCTCATGTTTTACAGTGTTTATTTCATGAGAATATGAAGCTCTTCAATCTAATAGAAGCTTATTAACAATAACAACAACAACAAAAAAAGGTTTAATAAGATTCTATAGGGACTGTCTGCTTTATATTAAACAGGCTACCAGAAGATATCAGGACCCAAGTGCAGATTATATTACATTCAGATTTTCCCAGCTCTGACATCAAAAAAGCTTGTCACTTGAAGGAACAGACTGTGGGAAACGTGACCCAGCCGATTCATGCACCCGAGTTCGCGTGACTCACTCAGATTATCAAAGTGCTGCAGGGACAGTTAAAACTCCACGACACCGTTGTTGTTGTTTTTTTTTTGTGGAAATCCTGAGAGAAATAGATGAGAGTCAAAAATGCTAACCTTCAGAAAGCTAAATCACATACACAAAAAAATGGTGACAATACTATAGAAACCTTCAGTATGCAATCTGGGGTTGGAGTACAGACCAATGCACTGTCATCTGTCAAATGACTGGCATCCCATCACTTTCTAATGACTCACTCTCCGAGTTCGCGTGACTCACTCAGATTATCAAAGTGCTGCAGGGACAGTTAAAACTCCACGACACCGTTGTTTTTTTTTTTTTTGGAAATCCTGAGAGAAATAGATGAGAGTCAAAAATGCTAACCTTTAGCTAAGCTAAAAGCTAAATCACATACACAAAAAAATGGTGACAATACTATAGAAACCTTCAGTATGCAATCTGGGGTTGGAGTACAGACCAATGCACTGTCATCTGTCAAATGACTGGCATCCCATCACTTTCGCACAGCTGTCACACCCCTGCTAGTCATGTAATCCATCTGTTCTGTAATAAAACAACCATCCAGATGAAAACATCAGTCTGCCAATTAAAAGGATTTTGTCAACTATTAGTAATATTACAGCCATTACTGGCATCACAGGCATGTGTTGTTAGCAAATCACATTCTGAAGTAAATGCACAGGGCCTAACATTGCCTGTTTATAAACGCATACAGTGGCTATCGAAAATAATCCAATTAAAAGGATTTTGGCAACTATTAGTAATATTACAGCCATTACTGGCATCACAGGCATGTGTTGTTAGCAAATCACATTCTGAAGTAAATGCACAGGGCCTAACATTGCCTGTTTATAAACGCATACAGTGGCTATCGAAAATAATCACTCCCCTTTAAAATAATCACATTTTGCTGCTTTGCAGCATGAAATGCAGATGGAGACAGTTTTTGTTTTATCCAGCTGTAGTTACTCAGTGCAACTTATATAACATCCAAGTTAAAGATACAACACCAACATATCAGGAAAAAAAAACAAAAAACATTCTGAAGTAAATGCACAGGGCCTAACATTGCCTGTTTATAAACACATACAGTGGCTATCGAAAATAATCACTCCCCTTTAAAATAATCACATTTTGCTGCTTTGCAGCATGAAATGCAGATGGAGACAGTTTTTGTTTTATCCAGCTGTATTTACTCAGTGCAACTTATATAACATCCAAGTTAAAGATTCAACACCAACATATCAGGAAAAAAAACAAAAACAAAAACAGAATCACTGAGTTGGAAAAAGGAACACCCCCTTGTGTCACAGTCTGAAACGCGTCTCTCTGTGTGCGATTTGTGCGCGCGCTTCAGGTGTGAGTCAGACAGCAAGACGAGACGGCAAAGAGTTGTTTTCTGCAACTTATTGCACTTAAGTCTTTTTAACGTCAAGCAATTATCTGCTATATGCGTCGAACTAAAACTTTGACCTTTTGCAATGTTTTGATTTAAGTAGCCTATTATTAAAATGATTCAGATATCGCATGCCCTTGCTATATGCATATCGCGATATTTACATTTGCGATATTTTGATATTTTCGATATATCGTGCAGCCCTAATATATATATATATATAGGAAATAAGTGTTCCTTCCAACCTGCAAGCAAAAAAAAAACAAACAAACACAGAGTAGGACCAGAGTAGTCACAAATATACTTGAAAATGAAAATTTTATTAAATGAAACTTAAAATATCCCTAAATGAAACTGAATCAAAAAATAAAATCTAACAGAGCTAGTGAATCAGAACTTTTTTTTTTATATTTTATATACATTTTAAATTGTTATTATGTATAAATTATTTTACAAATATAAAAATATAAACATTTATTAATATTGTTTTAAATATTTTCAATATATCACAGGTTAAATGATATCGCGATATTTACATTTGCGATATTTTGATATTTTCGATATATCGTGCAGCCCTAATATATATATATATATAGGAAATAAGTGTTCCTTCCAACCTGCAAGCAAAAAAAAAACAAACAAACACAGAGTAGGACCAGAGTAGTCACAAATATACTTGAAAATGAAAATTTTATTAAATGAAACTTAAAATATCCCTAAATGAAACTGAATCAAAAAATAAAATCTAACTGAGAGCTAGTGAATCAGAACTTTTTCTCTCTCTTTTTTATATTTTATATACATTTTAAATGGTTATGTATAAATTATTTAACAAATATAAAAATATAAACATTTATTAATATTGTTTTAAATATTTTCAATATATCACAGGTTAAATGGCGGGAAAAGAAATGTCCTTCCGGCCTACATGCAAAAAAAAAAAACACACGGCAGAACCAGATTATTCAAACAAAAATATACCTAAATGAATCATGAATTGAAAAATTAAATCGAACCAAGAGCTTGTGGAGAAAATCTTCATCAATTCCAAACTTTACTTACCAACTGTACTTGCTTTTGAGTTGTGACACAAGGATCAGCCATAACAGATGTTTACTGGCAAGGGAACTTTGTCTTTAAGAATCTTAATGGCCAAATAAAAGCACATTCAAATAATACCAAATGTTGATTGGTTGGTTGGTCATGTCAAATAATAAAAAAAAAGAATATATTATCAATATTTTATATTCCTCAGACCTCGGGCATAGTATCTTAATCTTAAATTGATTCCTGTAAACTGACCTGAATAACATAAACTCCGTTTGATCTGTCCCCCCATTTCAATTAACTCAAAAACCTCCTTTCTACCTCAACTTCATTTCATCTTCACAATCTTGGTCGTCCACATTACTGACTCCTAATTTGGTGTGACTCAATGGGAATGTGTGTAATGCCCCCCCAAGAGGCTAACGTCATACTAAAGATGCCTTCATCCACCAGCCCGGCTGGTCGGGCA